CTAGTGCCTTCCCTTCTAAGATTACCTTCAATCTACTCTGAGAGTCTTATAATTACCCACTTATGTATGTGTGGTTTAATATATTATATACTATGAATTATACATATTATATACTACAAATCACATATGTATATGTATATATCCTCGTTAGAATGTAAGCTCCATGAGGACAGGGACTGTTTTTGCTTTTTGTTTGTATCCTCATTCCTCAGCATAGTACCTGGCACATAGCCCTTTATAAATGTTTGATTATTTTATTATCCCTATTTTGTAGATGAGAAAACTGATGTTCAGAGGGAATAAGTGTCTTTCCTATAACCACATAGCTATTAAATGTCAGAGCTGAGATTCAAACCCAGATCTCTAGACTTCAAGTAAGAAGGTCTGATTGTTATTGAAGTCTCTTTCTGCTACATCATTCTGCCTCTCTGTTCAGCAGCATGAGGAAGGAAGCAATATTTGGCATGCATCCCTAACTTTTCAAGAGTCTCCTCCAGAAAGATATAATTCAATTCAACCAATAATAATTGGATACCTACCATATGCATAGCATGGCATTGAGCAGCACTGTGGAGAATGTCAGAGAAGGAGATATGATTCATTTCCCCTTTTATGCCTCTCCTCCCTTCCCCACTCCCACTCATAAAAAGCTTACCTCTTGTCAGGAAGGTAAGATGCACATAACTGAAACCAGTAGAGAATAATACAAAAGAATGTGTCACAAAATTAATATAACTTTGCATCAGACCTTTTATTTAAATGGCATAGGGAACTTCCAGTGTGGTAACTCCCTCTGTTTGCATTAGAGGTCAGCATCTGGTCTGCAGCTGATAGCCTTAGAGAATCACATAGGAATAATAAGAAGTGAAGTGACTTGGTTTGGTTCATAGAGACATCATTTGTATGATGTGGGACTTGAACTGAGTTTTTTCAACTTTAAGGTCAGACTTCCAGCCATTAAACCATGCTGCCTCTTATTTGCTTTCATTCTTCAAAAATCCATGATTTCACTAGTCTGGTTGCCCTTTCTACCTACACAGATGCCTTAGTATATGATCTTCATGAAGATTAAGGATCATAGCATAAAAAAATTTAGAAAAGAAGTTGATCTTACACCTTTGGCAGCTATGGATAGGAGATGTGTATTTAAGCAAACAAGAGTTAGAAACAATTACCACAGATGAAATAGGTAATTTTAATTTCATGAAATGGAAAAGCTTCTGCACAAACACAATTCTAGGATAAGATGAAAAGTAGTTTAATGGGAAAAATATTTATATCACTTTTTTTTGGATATGGATTTGGTATCCAAGGTATATAGACAACTAACAGAAATACACGATCAAAAACCAATGGATGAGTGATCAAATGATGTGAAAAAAAAGTTCTCAAAAGAATTGCACATAATGAGCAACAATATGAAAGGAATGTTCCAAATCACCAATAAGAGGAGTACAAATCAAAATAATCTTGAAGTTTCATCCCACACCCATAAAAAATAGCAAAGATGACAAAAGATGGGAATAGTCAATGTTGGACTAGCTGTGGAAAGCTAGGCCCACCAAAGTATTGGTGGTGGAGCTGTGAATTAGCACCATAATTTTGGAAAGCAGTTTGGAATTATGTAACATAAGTCAATAAAATGTCCATATCCTTTGTCCCAGAGATTCCGTTAGTAAGCATATATCTCAAGGAGTCCATTGATAAAAAGAAAAACCCTGTCTATACTAAAATATTTACAATAGTATTTTTACGGTGACAAAGAACTAAAAACAAAGTAGGTGACCATGGTTTTGGGAAATGGCTAAACAAATTGTGATAAAGAAATGTAATGGAACATTATTATATTGTAAGAAAAAAATACATATGATGAATGCAGAAAAGCATGGAAAATTTTACATTAGTTGATACAAAATAAAGTAAGCAAAGCCAAGATAACATATGCAATGGCCACAACAACACAAAAGGAAAGAATAAGCACAAAATAATAAAACGTGAAGGTTGTAAAATTACAAAGAAATTGCTTCACCCCAAAGATGAAATGCAGGAAAATACTGCCACTCTACTCCTTTGTAGACATTTTTATGGAACCATTTTTATGGAACATTACATATATTATCAGATTTTTTTTGATGTATTGATTGGCTTTGCTGATTCTTTTCTTTTCTTCCTTCATTTCTTTTTTACATGGGATGATATCTGAGAGTACAGGAGAGGGTGGGATAGAAGGGAAAATTTAGTTGATATAAAACAAATTTTAAAAATTTAATTTAAAAATACTTAAAAAGATCTGTAATTTCATCAGTCCTGTTGCCCTTTCTACTTACACAGCTGCCTTATTAGATGGTCTTTATGAAGTGCCATGTGCAAACTATTTATCACCACACGACCAACCTTTTGGTGATAGGTCATAGGCTATCACCTTAGCTAGTCAGTCAATCAACAAGTACTTTTTAAGTATCTAGGGTGTGAAGAAAGGCAAAAATAGTCCATGCCCTCAAGGAGTTCATATTCTAATAGGGGATACAACATGTAAATAATTGGATACATGGGAGATATGCACAAAGCAGAGGCCTTTCCATCTTGGTAGGCTTGTGTACTGTTGGCATAATTTTCAAGAGCCCGGAAATACTTCTAGGCATTGTGAGGCACCAGAGGAAGATTTTCAGAAAGGTAAATGTGATCCAAAGCAATAAAACTATGCCTGTAAGTGCTATTGGAGGTCTGGAAGGATGGGCTATTACTGTGGGCTAGAATATTCAAGACCCACTTTGTGGTGGGACTTCAGGGGAGCCTTGAAGAATGAATAGGGCATTGCAGGTGGAGTAGCCACATAAAAAAAAGAGAAGGTAGAACTAGTTGAATGTGTATTTCAAATGATGGGGAGACAGTGTCAGTGAAGAGGCCTTGCTGGACCTGAGAGTTGATGAATTAGATGACCTTCCAACAAGGGCCCTTCAAATTCTGAGATTATACAATTTTAGATTTAGCTTAGGGCTCCTTCACCGTGTATATGTGTGTGTGTGTGTGTGTGTGTGTGTGTGTGTGTGTGTGTGTGTGTGTACACGCACCTGTGCTATGGCCCTTTAGCCCAGGAACTCAGAATAATGTTTTTAAATGCACAAAATAAAATATGTAGGATTACAAAGCAAACAAATTATATTGGAACGCAGTTATTAAAATATTGAAAGTTCACAGAGTCCTGGTTAAGAATCTCAGATTTAGAGCTGGAAGGGACCTTAGGGGACATCAAGTCCAACTGCCTTATTTTGTAGATGAGGAGCTAGAGCCCAGAGGTTAATTAAATAACTTGTCCAAGGTCACACAAGTGATAGAGAAGCAGCAGAGCCAGAAATTGAACCCAGAATTTCCAACTTCCTCTTCTTTCCATGCAGCACAGTACCCCTGGGTTTCTAGGTAGGGCAGGAGAGAATGATAAGCAATTCAATTCCACAAATATTTGTTAAAGAAATAGGAACCGCAAAGTTTTTCCACAAGCCATCTCACTGGGCCTATGTTAAAGGGACCCTAAGATGCCTGGGTTAATTAGGATGGGGGCATTTCTTATATTTTATTTTTAGTAGATGCACTATGATGCAATGGCTAGAGGGACAGAGTTGGAGTCAGGAAGACCTGGATTCAAGTCCTTCCTCTGACACATTCTACTTGTATGGCCTCAGGCAAGTCAATGTAACCTCCTAGTGCCTCAGGCACTTCATTAAGACTGTAAATTACATAAGAGTTGCCCATCTGCATTGTTGGAGAGAGCTTTCGAACTGGGAATTCTCTACACCAATGGAGAGCTTTGTACATCAATGAAATCATAGATTTGGGGAAAAAAAATTCAGGAAGGTAGCTAGTAGCTCAGTCTGAACTGCTTCATTTTGAGCAAACTTCCTCTTCTGGACAGTAGGTGGCAGCAAAAAACAGGTTTTGAGCGTTTGCTTTGACTATCACTTCTCGGGGGAGAGAGAGCAAGTGATTTGCTTGGCTTCAGGCTTTGAGCTGATTTAGGAAAGGAGTTTACTCAGGGAAAGGTGAGTGTTGAACAGCTGTTTTTTGCACCAAGTAGGGTAGGTGCTTCCTGAGTGTTAGTCTGAAACAAAGTAAATTTGTTTTATCTTGGGTTGCAGTCTGGAGGGAGCAACTTGGTCCCCTGGGCGTCTTGTCTTTGCTGCCCTCTGCTGGAAATTGCTCTAGATTACATTGAATGGAGATGTCAGCTGTAAAACCTGGTTGCAGCTTGGCTTTGCTGTAAGTCTGAGAGACAGGGTTGGGAAGGAAAGTGTGTCAAATTTGGGAATTCCCTCTCAGGGCAGTGATAACCTTAGTGTCTCAGGCCCAAGTTTGTTTTCACTGCATATCTCATCCAATGCCAGAAATTCCTTTCATTCTATGTCTTAGCTGGGTGGCTCAGAGATTAGCAAATAGGGTTTAGGGTTAAAGAAGACCGCGTTTCGAATTCCACCTCCAACACTTACTAGATGTTTGACACTGGGCTAATCACTTGCCCTCTCTCAAAACAAAATAATATTGTAAAAAAAATCTCATCCACAAAATGATGGAGGTTGCACTTTATAGCTTCCCTCCTATGCAGATAGCACAGAGAAAGGAAGCCCTTTGATATACTCACACGTGAAGTTTGAATCATCTGTTGTGGTTCTAGGAGACATTAGAAATCATCTAGTCCAACTTCCTCTTTTTCCAGAGGAGGAAGCCAAGACCTAAAAAGGTTAAGAGTTGCTCTAGGTCACGCAAATAATAAATAGCAGAGCCAAGAGCCAAACGCAGGTCTTCTGTGTAAATCCAAAATTCTTTCCTTTACAGTTTGTCGTTTCACTCCTGTCTGTGACCTTCTGGGTCTTGCCAAGCCCAAGCTCCGCCTGTTCTGTGATTGAAGCCAAGGTTCTGCTGTAGGGACTCCCGACTTGATTTGAAGTAACCTGTCCAAGGTCACACTGCAAGGGTAGCAGAGTTGGGATTCTAGCCCAGGTCTTTGGGGCTGGCTCTTTCCTTTGCATGCTGCTTTTTTCCTCAGGCCTGAGAGACTGGGGACAATGCTTTTCCTGAGAACAAGTTTGATATCAGGGAGCAGTAAGAGAACACAGGGCATTGGGCAATGCAGAGTGAAGAAAAGGTTCCAGAAGCCTCTGAAGGTAAGCCTTGCTGTGAGGTTTTCATCAGGTCCCCTGGAGCGGCCCTCCAACCCCATCCTGCACTATTTTCTTTCAGGGGGGAAAACATTTAACCTACTTCTATACCTCGAGGCCCTCGATGAATGATGTCTCTCAGAGGCCTGAAGTCTTTGAATAGGCATGACTAGGGAACAGCTGAAAATGGATTAACAGCGGATTGAGTATGTGTTGTGAGCCTGGCTATTGATTTCTATTCCTGTGCTTCCTGTGTTATTGCACAAATGATTTTATACTCGGTTGAGATTAAATATTAATACACAGAAAATTAAAAAAAGAGATATTCCTGGTCCCTAGGCAGCTGCTTACTGCACAATTAAAAAGCAAATTAATGGCATATGTTAGGAGCAAGTTTGTTGGTCTAAATTTTATGATCAAGATATAGCAACTCAAGTGCTAACCTGAGACATTAACTGATTTTGGCCTCAACTTTTCTCTGGTCAAAGGCAGAGTGATTGGTGAAGATTCATCTGGACTTATAGAAATCACCTCTCCCACACACTAGGTCCATTAGGTGGGCTAGTTATTTATTACTGAACATGGTAAGATAGGAGAGGAACAGGCATTCAATGATTTTTAGATCATAGGGACATAGATTTAGAGAAGTGACCTCTAAAGTCATGTAGGCCAAACTCCTCATTTTACAAATGAAGGAGCTGAGGCCCCAAGAAGGTTTGCAACCTAGATTCTGTCTCCAAATCACTGCTCTGTTTTCATTGCACCACATAGTTTTCCCTTTCTCAACAACACTGTCAGTCAGGAGGAGATACAGCCTTGCATGGAACAGTGCAAAGACAAATGCAATTAGAGTTAGAGGGCTTAGGTTCTGTGTGATCCTGGGCCAGTCATTTGACCTTTCTGGGCCTCAGCTTCCTCATCTGTAAAATGAGGGGATGATTGGACTACATTCAATAACCTTTGGGTCTTTTTTAGTCCTAAATCTATAATCCTATGAATTAAAAGACCCTCCAGTACCATATAACATGTTGTGAACAAAGCATTTACATGCACTAGTTGCGAGATGCACTCTTACTAGCTAAAGTGTGTGTGTGTGTGTGTGTGTGTGTGTGTGTGTGAGAGAGAGAGAGAGAGAGAGAGAGAGAGAGAGAGAGAGAGAGAGAGAGAGAGAGAGAACTCATAGTCTGACTTTTGGGCAGTCATTGATGCATCTGACCCTGTAGGAAAAGTGTCAGGCAGTCAATGAATGAGAATTTATTCAGGGCAGTGCTCAGCCTTGTTGAAGAGACAATCAATCAGCAAGTATTTATTGAGTCAGACACTATTTGACATTGGAGAGATGAGAGAAAAAAAGGTAGTGCCTGTCTTCAAGGAGTTTAGATTGTAATTATAGTAACAAAAACCTATCTGGAATGCTGTAAGGCTTACACACAACTACTCAGTGAGAAAGGGGGAAAGAACAGGGAAAGGATGGAGGAAAGAGGACAAGGGAGGGAGGAGGGAAAATGGGAGCAAAGGAAGGAGGAGTAAGGACAAGGGAGGAAGAAGTCAAAAAGGGTGAAAGGGGAGAAGGAATGAGGTATGAGGTAAGAGAAGGGGAGAGGGAGAAAACGGGGTGTAAGGGCAAGAGAAGGGAATGAGAAAGTTAAACAGTAAGGGGGAAAGAGGAGTTTGGGGATTCTGAGAAAGGTGAAAGAAAGGGAGAGAAGAGTCTTAGAATTGGGAGGGATCTTAGGAAACAAAAGGTAAAGTGGTGAGAGAGCACCATGATCACAGGACTTAAAGCTGGGAGAAAACCTAGAGATCATCTAGTCCAACCCCTTTATTTTACAGAGGAAGAAACGAGGCCAAAGGAGTTAAGACTTACCCAACATCATATAAATAACAAATGGCAGAGACAGAATCCAAATCTAGGTCTTCTGAACAAATTCAGTTTTGTTGCCACTATAACTTTACTCTCACTGTTATTTAAGAGCTTCTGTTTCTTGCCTGCTTGACATTCTGCCTACTCTATGGACAGAGCTAAGGTTCTACTGAAGGGCCCCCAGACTTGATATCATTAACACTTTCTTCAAAATTTCTAGAACTTGTGGATTCAAGGATCCTGACATATGAGTACTCCCTTTACCAATACAGATGGCATCCTCCTACAACTTAAGCAGACAGTCTCCTAAAGCTGTTGTGGCTGAAAAATTCCTCCCCTTGCAGCCAACCCAGACTATTGCAGTAGCCTTTCAAATGTTTTCCCTGCCTCAAATTTCTCTCCACTTCATTCTGATCTTTCATCATAGGCCAAAAGAATTTACCTAAATCATAGCTCTGACCATGTCACTTCTATGCATAATAAACTTCAATAACTCTGTCCTACCTCCAGGGCTTTCTAATACCTGAACCTAACCTTAATGTCCCCAGCCCTGCCCCATGCCCCTCCCCCCAAATTTTCTCTAAGCTGCAGATTCCAAGTTCCTTCAGCTCATCCTCAATGTGACATGGACTCAAGGGTCATTAAGGGAGATCAGCTTGATGAACAGTAAGGGCAGAAAGCTCTGTTCATTATTTTTGATTGTATCACTATAGAGGGTAGACATGCTTATTAATAACTATAGTCAAGAAGACTAAAGACATCTGAATAAATTTGGGCCTTGGTGCTGCTTTCCAAGATGAATAATTTGGACTCTTGTGAGGAATATTTGATGGAAAGATCCACAATGACTTCTTTGTTTTGAATTTTTTTTTTATTACTTTAGGCAATTGGGGTTGAGTGACTTGCCCAGGGTCACACAGGTAGTAAGTGTCAAGTGTTTGGTCTGAGGCCGGATTTGAACTCAGGTCCTCCTGACTGCACGGCTGGTACTCTATCCACTGTGCCACCTAGCTGCCCCTCACAATGACTTCTAAAAGTGATCTGCCAAACTTCATCTGGTAAATTCATTAGTGTCTCGACTAAACCATTTAGGGCTTAATTGTAGAATGTCTTATATTTTTCTAAAGGCTGTAAGAGTTCAGAAGAGGGCGAGATCACTACAGAACAATTTTTGGAGGAAATAGGACTTGAGCTTAGCCTTTAAGAATGGATAGAGGCGAGGAAGGGTATTCTAGGAAGGAATAAGAATTAAATATTAATAATAAGCTTGATTGTTATTGGAAGCCACTAGCCAAGAGTAATTCAACCAATGAGCAAATATTTATTATTTATTATGTGTCAGGCACTGTGCTAAATGCTGGGGATATGTGTGTGCACATACATGGTCTCTACCCTCAAGGAAGGAGAAAATATGCAAAGAATTGCACATATAACTTACATGTAGTGAAAATAGGAGATAATCTCAGAGGGGAGGTACTACTAGCTGTGAGTGGAGGGGAGGGCCAATGGGAAAGGCCTCACAAAGAAGATGGGATTTGAATTGAATCTTGAGGGAGGCAGAGGGAAAGCATTGCAGGCTTAGGGGATAGAAGGTGAAAAGGTACAAAGGTGAAAGATGGCATATCATGTGTGAGGAACACCCAGTGTAGCTGGATCATAGTACCTAGAGGAGAGTAATGTGTGAGGTAGGAAGGGGCCAGTTTTTGAATGGTTTTAAAAGTCAAATGGGAGATTTTGTATTTAATCCTGGAGGTAATAAGAAGCCTCTGGAGTTTATTGAGTGGGGGTTTCTGGACATGGTCAGAGGTACTTTTTAGGAATATCACTTAGGCATATGAGAAGAGGTTGGGGAATGGGGAGAGACTTGAGGTAGGAGACTGACTAGAAAACTATTACCGCAATCCAAGGATGAGGTGTTGGGGCCCTGAAACAGAAGGTCAGCTGTGTGGAGGGAAGAGCATATGTAGGAGGGATGTTGTGAAGATAGAAATAAGGTGGCATTAGATTAGATACATAGGGTGAGTGCAAGAGAAGACTTGAAGACACTGAGATTGCAAGCCTGTGTGACTTGGAGGATAGTTGTGTCTTTGCCAGTAACAGGGAATTTGGGAATAAGAGTGGGTTTAGAGGAGGGCAAAGAAGACAATGAGTTTGTTTTGGACGTGCTGAGTTTGAGGTGTCTGTGGGACATCCAGTTGAAGATATTCATGAGACCATTAGTGATGCAAGCCTGGAACTCAGGAAAGAGGTTAAGCCTAGTTAGATAGATGTATCTGATAGTCATCTACACAGAGATAATATTTGAGTCCATGGGAATTAATGAGATAACAAAGAGAGATAGTATAGAGGCAGAAAAGAAGGGGGCTCAAAACAGAGCCTTGGCAAACACTCATTGTTAGTGAATATGACCTAGATAAAGACCCAGGAAAGAAGACTAATGAAGACTAGTGGTCAGATGGGTAGGAGGAGAACCAAGAGAGAGCAGTGTCACAAAAACCAGCAGATTGTCTCATTATCAGCTTAATTCATCTAAAGAGTCCTCTGTTGGTTTTTGTCATGTGCTTTTTTTAAAAAATTCATTGTCATGTGGTGGAAAGGCCACTTAATTTGAAGTTAGAGGTGTTGTTCAGTCATTTCAGTCATGTCCAACTCTTCGTGATCCTCCCCTTTAGTTTTCTTGGCAAAGATACATGAAGGTTTGCTATTTCCTTCTCCAGATCATTTTACACACAAGGAACTGAGGCAAACAGGGTTAAGTGACTTGCCCAGGGTCACACAGCTAGGTGTCTAAGGCTAGATTTGAACTCAAGAAGATGAGTCCTCCCAATTCCAAGCCCAGTGCACTTATTCACTGTGACACCTAACTACCCAGAGTTAGAGGTCCTGGGTTTAAATCTCGGCTCTGTTACCTATTACAGATCAAGGAGAGAGAATTTAAGAATCACTGGATTTCCTAAAAGTCATGACCAAAAACTAATTTTAGGCAGAATGTTTTAAGAAATCATAAAAGAAAACTGCCCACATCTCTTAGAAACAGAGGAAAAAATGGGAATATAGAGTCCACTGGTCACTTAGCAACAATATAGTTAAAATCCACAACTGCCATGTCAAAGAAATAAATACTGCAAGTAGGCAGAAAGAAAGAATTCAAGTACTGATTATGCAGGATCACCTAAGATTTGGCAGTTGCCACTATAAAGAAGATAGAGCTTTAGATGTGTTATTCCAGAAGGCAAAACATATACACTTAAAACAAGAATAATTTACCTAGCAAACGGAGTATAATCCTACAGGGGAAGAATGGACTTATAATGAAATAGATTACTTTCAAGCGGTCTTCATTTAAAAAAAAACCCAGATGTGTGTAGATACTTTGAAATACACACATAAGAGTCAAGGAAATCGTAAAATGATGAACATGAGTCAACAGTCATAAGGGTCTAAATAACAATGAATTAACTTTCTAATATAGAGGGGATAATGCATGTTCCCTCAGAACACTATCATCATTTGGATCATAGAGGGTATCTAATAAGACAGAGGGCCTGGAACTGGTTTTTAAATTTTTATTATTTTAAGAGAAGAAAGGAAAGGGAGGATAAATGGGATATACTAGGGAAGAAAAAGGAAGAAGAAGGTGGGGAAAATTCTCTCACATAATTTGGGTATACAACTAGAAGACTTGTGTAGTTGAAACAAGGAGGAAGGGTAGAGGGAATGGGTAACATTTGATCCTCACTTTCTTTTGAATTGGTCAAAGGAAGGAAAAATATATACACAGTTGGGTACAGAAATACATTTTATTCAACAAGGAAGCAGGAAGAAAAGGGGAGAAGGGAGAGGGAAGAATAAGAGGGAGGGCAGACAAAGCAAGGGATTAGTCCTAAGCAAAACTGACTGTAGCCACATTGAATTCTGGGTGAGGGAAAGAGAAGAGGGGCAGGAAAGCAGATGCAGATTGCATCAGAGCTAGAGAATTAGTGCTGAGCACATTTCTCTCTCACCGCTGTCTTCTTTATAAAGAGGGGATGGGAAACTGATCAACAGCAATGACCAACCAAGATTCCTGTAGACTCATGATGAAACTTGCTACCTACTTTCTGAGAGAGAAGTGATAGATTCAGGGTGCAGATGAAGACTTTTCTTTTTACATGACCAGTGCAAGAATTTGTTTCACTTGACTATGTTTATGTGTTACAAGGGCTTTGTTTTTCTTTCTTGGTCAATGGGGGTGAAGGTGAAAGGGAGGGAAGGCATATTTTCATCAATAAAAAAATAGATTACCAGAGACATTGTGAGTTGAATGCAGTTAAGATCTGAAGGGACATGGTTAACTGGGAAAACTCTCTGCAAACATTTTTCCTGATTAAAGTCTCAAAATATATAAGGAACAGATTCAAATTTATAAGAATAAGAGTCATTTACCAATTGATGAATGGTCAAAGGACACAAACAGGCAGTTTTCAAGGGAAGAGAACCAAGCTATTAAGAGCCATGTGAACAAAAGTCTCCAAATCAGTAATCATTAGAGAAATGCAAATTAAAGGAACTCTGAAGTTCTACCTCACACCCATCAGATTGACAAAGTTGATTAAAAAAGAGAAATGATATGAGACATGAGAGGGACATGATGGTTCAGCCATTTTGGAAGGTAATTTGAAACTATAGCCCAAATGTTACTAAACTGCATGTCCTTTCATGCCACTACTAGACCTAGATTCCAAAGAGATCAGAGAAAGAGGAAAAGGATCCCTATGTATAAAAATATTTTTAGCATCTCTTTTTGTAGTGACAAAGAACAGAAAACTAAAGGGGTACTCGGTAGGGTAATAGATGAAACACATTATGTCATATGAATGTAATGGAACATCATTGTGTCATAAGAAATGATGAAAGGGACAGCTTGTATGAACTGATGCAGTTAAGGGAAAAGAACCAGCAAAATAATTTATAAAATAATAACAACATTGTAAAGCCAAACAACTTTGAAAGATGTAGTAATTCTAATCAATGTAATGATCAGACTATTCCAGAAGAGTGATGATAAAGAATGCTAACCACCTTCTGACAGAGATGTGATGGACTGTAATGCTGAATGAAACATACATGTTTACATGGCCAATGTAGGAATTTCTTTGGCTTGACTATGTGTATTTCTTACAAGGATTTTTGTTTCTCTCTTTTTTTTCTTCAATGGATGTGAGGAGAGAAAATAAATATTTGTTAATTGAAAAAATAACTAAGAAAATTCATGGAGTTGATAGATGGAATATTTCGTTCCAGGAATGACAAGAAATCCAGAGTCACTGGATCATAGAGTACATGGAGGAGAGTAAGGAATAAGAAGACTGAAAGGCAGAGGCAGGTTATGAAGGTTTTGTGTTGAAACACAAAGGATTTTATATTTGATCCTAGAGGTAAGAGTCAAAATCCCACTTAATACATACATGTATTATATGTGTGTGTGCATATGTGTATAATTTCTCTCTAGTCTATTATCTATTTATCTAATCTATCTATCTATCTATCTATCTATCTATCTATCTATCTATCTATCTATCCATCCATCCATCTACTGATCTGTCTCTTCCACAAAAATCCCACTCCAATACCTCATTGTGCTGCGGAGGTAGCTTTGGTTCTTCAAAGGTTATAAAACAAAATAAGACTTTGACAGTCAGTCCTATTGTTGGAAAGGACCCGGTGATGGACTATATGTATTGTCCTGTGACTAGTTAGTTATGTTTGAAAAGGCTCATCAGAAAATTTGTTACCATTTGGCAATGCCTTTTTTTTTTTGGCTAACATAACTCATTAAACTGTCTCATTAGGCATGAAAGGATTGTGATTTGCACCAGTGAAGGGAATCTTAATCTGGGTATTTCTTTGACATTTTATAGTGATAACACACATATAAAACTATAGCATACAGACTGTAAATGGATATACACGTCTATATAACATGTATGTTATAAATATTCATATATAATATGTCTCTCACAGAATATCAGTTGGAAAGAACCTCCGAAGCCATCTGGTTCAATTCCTATCTGAACAAGAATGCCCTCTCCAACATACCTGACAAATGGTTACACAGCCTCTGCTTGAAGGCTTCTATTGAGTAGGAGCCCACTAGTTTATGAAGCAGTCTGTTCCACTTTGGAAAGCTCTAATTGTTGAGAAGTTTTTCTTTACATTAAGCCTAAATTTGCCTCTTTGCAACTTCTACTCATTGCTCCTAGTTCCATCCTTGGGGCCATAGAAAACAAATCTAATCCCTTTTTTATGTGACATCCTCTCAAATACTTGAAGACAGCTGTCATGCCTCCCTTAAAGCTTCTATTCTCCAGTCTAAACATCTTCATTTCCTTCCATTGATCCTCTGGGAATAGTAATCAAATAAATATTATTATTGCTTCTTGAAGAACATGTCAATTGAAGTCCCTATGGCTCCATTCATTATCCCTGTGACTTTTCAGCCCCAAATGCCCTGTCATAGCCACCATCCTCCTCTATGTGTAGTCTCCTCCTGGTAGAATGTCAGCTTATTGAGGACAGAGAATGTCTTTTTTTGTGTTTGTATTTCCAGCCCTTAGTGCATACTGGTACACACAAATACTTAATAAATAAATGCTTTTTTATTTGTTCTTTCACATTCAAACAGCATGAACTTGGAGTCCTTATCACCCTTGCTGCCTTCTTTTGGACACTATCCAAGTTATTCATGTCTTTCCTAAAATATATTGCCCAGAATGGAAAGTTTCCATGCCAAATGAGGTTGTATTATTTGCCAATCTGGAATATCTGTTGCTCAGTTCCCTTGCATTGTCATTGTGAACTGAGGATTGCAAATATTGCAAGTATTCTTATAGTGAGGCAGCATGGCATAGTATAGAAAGAACACTGCACTTGTGCCCAGAAGGCCTGGGTTTAAGTTCTGGCTCTGCCAATTTCTGTTTGTGGGATTTTGGATGTCACTTTAACTCTCTAAATCTCAGTTTTCTTCATTATAAAATCAGATGATAATAGGTCCACCCTCTATCTCACAAGGCTGTTAAATGAATGAATAAAAACTATTGTGCACTTACTCTTTGTCAGGCATTTTGCTGGTGCTGGAAATTCAAATTCAAAAGTAGGATAATCACTCCCCTCAAGGAGTTTACATTCTAAATGAAGGAGATAACATATAGAGGAATAGTGGTCAGGGAAAAGGAGTTTGGTCTGAGGAGTAACAGGGATGGTGAGTTGATCCATAGGACAGCTACCTGACATGCCTTTTCCAAGAGCAATGTTTGTATGAATAGATTATTATGCCTAAAGCGAGATGAATAATCGGAGTGGGGGGTGGAGTGGGGTGTAGAACATGTATTGTATTTATATGTGTCATTAGACATAGTCTTTGACATAATCTTGATGGGAAGTAACAGGGCAAATGAAAAGATGATCTAGGTGGACATCTGAATGGAACATGAAACATGATCTGATCAGACAGGCTAGATATAGTGGTCTTTGTGGGTTTATACTCACTTGCCAACCAAGGTAACTATTATGAAGAAAGCATATTGTGTGCTGCAAAGCGAGTTATAAATATGAGTGATCGCTGTTTCTTTAAATAACCCCACTGGAACCTGTTAGAGCAGGTGGTCCCATGCTATTTGAAAGGGGCCCAAGTGCCTCATTGCATATAAACTTTGAGGGAGCATGGGGAGGAAGCCACTGATATCAGCAATTACTTCTCCAGGGTCCTGCTAAAACTCAGAGAAATATGGACAGAGTGTGGGATGGAGGCTCCTTTCTTCCAGGGCAATCCCAGAGGAAACCAAACTCTAGTTTTCCCATAGCTGGAAGTTCAGCAAATAAGAGATTTTATTAAGTTGTTAATAAGATTTCAGTTTTGCACTAATGCTGTGGTGTGACATTATTAATTTAAAACTGTATTTAGCTTGACATGTGAAAGTGCCAGGCCTCATTATTAATGCATAGCAGCATGCCCGTGTTGTTTAATTAAACACCGTGATTATGAAGTTCTGATGGGGCTTAACGATACCCGGTTGGAGTGGCAGCGTGTTCTCTAGCAGCCGTTCTCTTGTTTCTCTCTAATTCTGATCTGAGAGCTGTCATATAGTCCAAGGACAGCAGAAATTCATTTAACTAGAATCTCAAATAGCCAGTATCCTTGATTAACCAGAGTTTTTTTTTGTGGCACTTGAATTGTAGGAGAAAGCAGCAAAAGAAAATAAACCTATATAAATATCAAGGATTTAATCCAGAATACAACCCCAGCCTATGTATGGAGTCAGTATAGTCCAGTGTCCTATAGCTTCTCCAGCTTCTGACCCAGATAATGTATCATGTTTACATGAGTCATTAGACATAGTCTTTGACATAATCTTGATGCCTATATTCTGGGCAACATGCTTTAGGAAGAAAATTGACAAGCCGAAAAGTTTTCAGAAGAGGATGACCAGGATGATGAAGGACTCACAGGTCATGCTATATGAAGACTGGGAATGTTTAGATGGTAGAAAAGAAGATTTAGGCTCAAGTACATAGGGGAAGAAATTAAGCTTGTTCTTGATTGCAGCAGGCAGAACTAGAACAATGAATGGAAGTGCCAAAGATAAAAATTTAGGCTTAATGTCAGGAAAAAACCAAACAACTTTTAACAATTAGAGCCATCTCAAAGTAAAATGGGCTGCCTCTGGAGGTTCCCCCTCATCAGAAGTCTTTAAGCAAAATCTGGCTTATTACTTCTTGGGTGTATTGTAGAGAGAATTCTTTTTCAGGTCTGAGCTGAACTACATGGCTGCTGAGGTTCCTCCTACCTTTGAGATTCTGTGGAGTTCCCTGTTGATTCTAATCTCCGTAGATCAATCCCTTCCCTAACCTTGTTTCCTGAATTGCTCAGATTGCCCAAACTGGACTTCCCTACCATATTTCACAGCATAATTGTTGCAGCCTGTTTTTTCAGTCCAAAAATTGGTCATAACCTTTCATCGCTTAATCATTACACGCTATAATTCTGTTCAACATGCTGCTTAAAAGGTAAACAGAGCTGCAATGTATTCACCAGTGGCATATGGATATGCATTTATCTCTCATACATTGTGAGCAGCTAGCCTAGAGCAGCAAGCCTAGAATTCTCAGCTCACATGCATTGTCGATATATTTCTGAAAGCCCACTTGTGGGTTTTGTTTAGAGCGCTGCTGTACTAACGGTACTGCAGGCAGGTGAAGTTGCCATGAGTAAGTCACATGATATGGTAAGACTTGCATCTTCCCACTTTTAATATATATATTCGCAAGTATTCAGTGCATCCTAATCTTGCACCAAAGATAGTTTAGTAACAAATGATTTTAAGTAATACTGGCACGTTTTTTAAAGCTTCACAATGGTTGCACCCCACTTCTTTGCAAAAAAATATTTGGCATAAAATCTGCAGTGATTATGCAGTGAAATGTGAAGCCCCATGATAGCAGGAGTGTCTTCCCCACATTGCAGCTGACCATAGGGGAGGTTGGGTGGGGCAAGAAGGCACAGCATTTATAAAATATGTACTGTGTGTCAGGCTCTATGCTAAGTGCTTTACAAATGTGTCATTGGACCTTCACAAACCTGGGAGGTAGGTATTATTACTATTATTCTCATTTTACAGTTGAGCAAAGTGAAACAAGTTAAATAACTTCCCAGGGTCACGCAACTAGTAAGTGTTGAAGTCCAGATTTGAACTCATGTCTTTCAGACTCCAGGTCCAGTGCTTTATCCGTTGTGCTATCTGTCTTTCCTGGAATGAAAGAAAGAAGGAAGGGAAGGACATAAGGAGGAAGGGAGGAAGGGAAGAAGGAAGGAAGGAAACAAGTATTTATTAATTGAATACTATGCTCTAGGCACTGAGCCCAACTACTGTAAATACAAATGCAAGCTAAAAGAAAGACAGTTCCTGCCCTCAAGGAGCTTACATTCTCATTGGGGAAGATAACAACACCAAAGAGAGAGTTGGTGAGGAAGAGATAAAGATACTTCATTCAGGTACATGACTTTGAAGTCTGGAAGACAGGAACAGGGTTAGAAGGGGAATGAAGCCTGGCTTGTGTGGATCCCTTCAGAAAATGGAGACCCCAGGAGGAACTCACCAATGGGAGAAGGGGGCAGAACTTGCCCCAGAGGAATATTCCAGGATAACAAAGCCACAGGAACAGTTGGATGTCCAGTGGGAGGCCCCAGCCGTTGAGGTAAGTTCCAGGATGAAAGAACAGTGATTCCAAAGGCCTTGGTTCCAACGTCTGGAAAGTCAGAGGTAGGGCCAGGAAAAGAATGACCTTCCATAGATCTGGGCACATGGGAGATGGTTAGTAAAGAATCAAAATATCATAGAAATTAGAAGTAGAGGGTAATTTAGTCCAGCTTTCTCATTTT